AAGGAGGTGAGGGGGTGGGGGCAGAAAGTGGAAATGAAAGCAGACATCAGAACATTGTTAGAGATCAGGAAAGGATGTGAAAGGAGACAATCGGGTTAGCAAACCGCCCCGAACAGACCCGATCCCCCAATGGCACCCTGTATAAGACGGTTTTTTCTGACCCCCTTGCCGTTCCGTCTTAGACAGGTTCTACTGATATATCATTTTCTATCTACCCTGCCGTCTGCCACCCACCAACTGTCTGAAATGTACGGTCCGTATTAAATTTGTGTAACATGAGTTACAATCAGAATACTGAGTATGGATCTAGCTTTAATTGATTATTATTTATGTTATTGTTCATTTAGATTATGCGTGTGATTGTAGGCCTGCGTGTGTGTGCCTGTTTGTGTGTGTGTGTGTGTGTGTGTGTGTGTGTGTGTGTGTGTGTGTGTGTGTCTGTCTGTCTGTTTGCGCTAGTGTGGGAGGAGACATTCATATGAGCCAGTGTGTGACAGTGTACGTACATGTTCCTGCATGTGTCCAACAACTTGGGAGTAGAGGAGACACTCCACAGAATGGAACCCAGCTTCAGTAAGTACAACAAGAGCAGCTAGGTGCCAAAACAAACGACCCGGCCCTCATCACAAACACATGGTAGCCTACATTGTGCCGGTGTTCCTCCCTTGCTCTTTCCACAACCAGTCAGCTCCACATTGTTTGTCGTGGATGTGTCACACACCCAAACCCAAAAAGTCTCCCCCCCCAACCCCCAGGGAAAGGGAGGAGGGATGTGTTGTACATGTTTGTTGTTGTTTACTTCCCATTCACAACGAGAACAACAAAACAGATGGGGATAGAACAACAGTTTGTCAGATGTCTCTCTCCTCACATGTTTGTTGTTTCTCTGAGTCATTAGCAGGAACGGTAACCCGACATCACCATTTTTATTTATTTATAACTCCAAACAGCAGTGGTGATCTGCAATTATCTGGGACTTGGGTTTCGTTGTTCGATTGCGTCCTTTCACTTTATTTCATTGCATCAGATGCTGGGATATTGAAAAGTGTACAAAAACTGTCATTTCAGAAAAAAGCCATCGTACCGGTAGATTCTCAATTCTGAGCCATTATCTTTCTTTTCTCTCCTCTCCTCTCCGCTCCAATCCCTTTATTTTCTCTTTTCCTCCTCTGAGCATCGTGTCTTCCTGCACCTTCCTCTCTTGTACCAACTCTCTCCTCAGACTGTCTGTCCCATCTCTCAATCTCTTTAACACACATTTTTTCTCTCGCTTCCATCAAGTAGGCCTATCTTGTGCCAGTCTTGCACACTGAAGTGTCACCGCCATGAAGCTACTTTTGGCCAAACATTTCACCAGACAGGGAACTAAGCAAACAGCTGGAGCAGATTGGGTTTTGGTTTTTAGGTTTTTGGGGGCTTTTGGCTTGTTTTGCATTTTCAAATTTTCTCTCTGTGTGCGAGTGTTTGTGGGGGGGGGGGGGGGT